GGGCCACTGTATTTTTCCACCAATACCAAAATACTGCATATACACTGATTCTATTGTTAACTCTTAATGAGTGAACATTGTCTCTTATTTAATGTGTATATGTACGATGTATCATTCACACGCTATTTCTAATCTTTATCACTCTCTTTGACAGCACAGGAGGTCGTCACATAGTATACATAAAACTTCCTGGGAAGTGCGGTTATGGATGTGTTGTAAACTTGAGTAGCAGTAAGGAAATTCCTCAGCTTGTAGATCATGCAGTTTATAAATCAGTTCAAATATTTTGCTCTTTAAGCAAGAATTATACAACGGCCTTGCAGGTAACATTCACAATCTGTCAGTTTATCAGACTAATCCACCTGAGCTCGCATCATGATCCGGCTCATTTATCGCAACCTGGCAACGGCGTGCCAGAGCACGTCTGTGTGCCTGCTCCCTTCAGCCTGAGCGATGGGGTCTGAAATGGTGAGTCAGGAGACGCTGCATCGGGCCGCCGCATCCTCCATCACTGATGTGATGTCAGCACAAATCTGTGTTGTCACAGTGCCTGTGACCGCTCGCTGCATGAGGAAAGAGAAGAGATGGGTGGCTCTGTCTGCTGCTGTCAGTTTGATATAGGGGCGACATAAAGAGAGGCAGAAAAGGGGAGAGGAGGGGAAGGAAAAACGGAGGGAAAACACATAAATTTCCAATAAGAAGCAGCACACACAAAGTTGACATTGCGCCCTTTACACGTTTGCAGTTTAAATAAAAAAGGCACAAATCTAGATTCTAGGCTTAAAAGAAATCTGCTGTTGGAATCACCAATCAAAGACAAAAGACATAATAGAAGCAGCTGATGTCATCATTTTGAATTCATTTAATATATAAAAGCTAAAGACATACTGCTTTTAACAGTCATTTAGTCTCTAGCTTACCCTTAAAGTGAAAATAAATGGATCTGCTGTATTTTATTTAGAGTATAACTAATGTTGCACCTAACCTGCTGCAGCTACGCTCGCTCTGCATCAGCTTCCAGTCCTAAGCAGCGCTGTTATACTGTTTACGTTCTCCTCTGTGCCCCCTCATCCTGTTTGAGCGCTCGCTCTCATCTTCTCTACGGGGAGTGTGCGGAGCTTCATGCCTCACTGTTCTTATCACATTGGACCCATCCGCCTACAAAATGCTCTGGGGTCTATTTTTAGACACGTACATGGAGCTAATGGGAAAGGATAGCCTAACCTCTTCCCTGATGAAAGTCGAATATAGCCTGGAGATTTGAGTTTGAGTCCTGTCACGTGTGAAGCAGAGCTGTTAAGATTTGAAACGTGCAAATTTATTATTGATGGGCAGAGAGTGTGTTATAATGTTGAAATGCTCCAGGGGTTATTGATGTCTCAAACAGTCCCAACTACCTACCCGGCACCGAGTACACACCCAGTTCCCATAATCTTTATAACAATGCCTACATAGCAGCTCTCCTACTACTTCAATTATGCAATAGGTGCCTTAAAAACCTGTCCATAGGTGTATTTTCTGATTTTGTTTGAATTCTTGTTACCATCTAAAAAAAATAAAAATTAACTTTTTTTGGTTTGTTTTTTTACTTTGGACTATACCCAATGTTTCCAGTGTTTATGCTAGGCTAAAAACCTTCTGTAGCTCTATCTATCAGAGTAATATTGATATTCACAGAGCCATTAAAAGTGGCATTTAAAATTTAAAGTGCTTTCCTATTTTACATACATAAAATATATGAAATAATTGAAATAATTCAGTACCATTATTTCCTGCCTGACAGTTTCAGTCGTTCTCAGTGATGCCTTTTCTACTTGGCATGAAGTGAGTAATGTCATTTGTCCTAACAGCGTTTAACTGTTATTTGACTCGTTGTGGAAAGTCTCTGCCTCACAGAATATGCAATTAATCC